AGATGAGGTGAAAGGAACTTTGTGAATACTCTAGGAGCAGAGGATAGGCCAAATGGCTTTGCAACAAACTGGAAACGACTGACACTACAAAGTGCAGAAAATGCTTACAAGGTGGGTAAATGGGAATATGCAAAAAGGCAGCTTGGATGTCTATAAATGCTAGTTATTCCCTTGCTTAAGAGCATCAGTAACTGACCTTACAGATTCCAGGCAAAATTTTGGAACTTGAAGGTATTTGTTAAGGGATTTAAAGGCCAAGAATAAGAAACACCCTATGTTGGGCTTGAGTACAGTGAACATGTTTGAAAAGCATCCTTTTAACTTGTCTTGTCAAGCTACTGGCAGGATTGTCTCACAAACATATGAACACTGTGACCGTCACCCACAGTGGTCATATGATCAGGATCAGGCAAACCCCCCCCCCCCCCCCAGCATAAAAGTCCTGTAAAGGGACTCCAGGGCTGGGCAGGAAAGGGTTATTGTAGATACTACAGTAAGCATCATACTAGTGACAGAACTGGATCATCTGTCCAGTGCTTTGTATAAATGTACAGTATTACTCAACAATTTCATTTTCTAAATGTATAGACACTTCTGACAATATTACAGGGCTCAAGGAGAACATTGGTTCTGCCACTTTTAATATGTATAAAGTATGCATTTGTAATCACTCTTTAGGCAAGCGTTACCACGTGTACTATGGGCCGCTTTACTTGCTTAACAGTACTTTCATAGATCGCAGCCTTCCTTGATCTTGACATTATTCTGTCAAACTCCTTTTTGCATCTATGCATTCTATTTGTTTAGACTTTGATGAGGTCGCAGTTGAGAATTTAGATACGGTAAGTCTAAATGGCTTCACTATGGGGCTATATCCTATTACTTACCGTATTTTTCGCTCCATAAGACGCACCTGACCATAAGACGCACCTAGGTTTTAGAGGCAGAAAACAGGAAAAAAAAATTCTGAACTAATGGACTGCAGACACAGTACAGGAGATGACCAGAGACTGCGGACATAGTACAGGAGATGACCAGAGACTGCGGACACAGTACAGGAGATGACCAGAGACTGCGGACACAGTACAGGAGATGACCAGAGACTGCGGACACAGTACAGGAGATGACCAGAGACTGCGGTCACAGTGCAGGAGATGACCAGAGACTGCGGACACAGTACAGGAGATGACCAGAGACTGCGGACACAGTACAGGAGATGACCAGAGACTGCGGACACAGTACAGGAGATGACCAGAGACTGCGGACACAGTACAGGAGATGACCAGAGACTGCGGTCACAGTGCAGGAGATGACCAGAGACTGCGGACACAGTGCAGGAGATGACCAGAGACTGCGGACACAGTGCAGGAGATGACCAGAGACTGCGGACACAGTGCAGGAGATGACCAGAGACTGCGGACACAGTGCAGGAGATGACCAGAGACTGCGGACACAGTGCAGGAGATGACCAGAGACTGCGGACACAGTGCAGGAGATGACCAGAGACTGCGGACACAGTGCAGGAGATGACCAGAGACTGCGGACACAGCACGGAGATGACCAGAGACTGCGGACACAGCACCAGAGACTGCGGACACAGCACGGGGATGACCAGAGACTGCGGACACAGCACGGGGATGACCAGAGACTGCGGACACAGCACGGGATGACCAGAGACTGCGGACAGCACAGGGATGACCAGAGACTGCGGACAGCACAGGGATGACAGAGACTGCGGACAGCACAGGGATGACCAGAGACTGCGGACAGCACAGGGATGACCAGAGACTGCGGACAGCACAGGGATGACCAGAGACTGCGGACAGCACAGGGATGACCAGAGACTGCGGACAGCACAGGGATGACCAGAGAGGGATGACCAGAGACTGCGGACAGCACAGGGATGACCAGAGACTGCGGACAGCACAGGGATGACCAGAGACTGCGGACAGCACAGGGATGACCAGAGACTGCGGACAGCACAGGGATGACCAGAGACTGCGGACAGCACAGGGATGACCAGAGACTGCGGACAGCACAGGGATGACCAGAGACTGCGGACAGCACAGGGATGACCAGAGACTGCGGACAGCACAGGGATGACCAGAGACTGCGGACAGCACAGGGATGACCAGAGACTGCGGACAGCACAGGGATGACCAGAGACTGCGGACAGCACAGGGATGACCAGAGACTGCGGACAGCACAGGGATGACCAGAGACTGCGGACAGCACAGGGATGACCAGAGACTGCGGACAGCACAGGGATGACCAGAGACTGCGGGACAGCAGGGATGACCAGAGACTGCGGACAGCACAGGGATGACCAGAGACTGCGGACAGCACAGGGATGACCAGAGACTGCGGACAGCACAGGGATGACCAGAGACTGCGGACAGCACAGGGATGACCAGAGACTGCGGACAGCACAGGGATGACCAGAGACTGCGGACAGCACAGGGATGACCAGAGACTGCGGACAGCACAGGGATGACCAGAGACTGCGGACAGCACAGGGATGACCAGAGACTGCGGACAGCACAGGGATGACCAGAGACTGCGGACAGCACAGGGATGACCAGAGACTGCGGACAGCACAGGGATGACCAGAGACTGCGGACAGCACAGGGATGACCAGAGACTGAGCACAGGGATGACCAGAGACTGTGGATAGTACAGGGGATGACTGCTGACCTTTGGGGTGGGGGGGGGAGCGGGTACCTGAATTTGACAGGTACCCGCTCCCACTTCCGCGGAGTTGTTCTTTCATCTTACCTGTTCCTCTATCCAGCCGCGCGCTGTCTTCCCGGCTTCTGTAATGGCGCTTGGCATGACAGCCGGGTGCCTAGTGCGCATGAGCGAGAAGCACTTGCGCTTTGTGATTGGTCCGGCGGCTTCTGGGATCTGCCATGTGTCCCAGGTGCCGCCTTACCATTCACAAAAAGCACCGCTTCCTGCTCATGCGCACTTGGCACCCGGCTGTCATGCCCACACTACAGAAGCCGGGAAGACCGCGCCGCTGGATAGAGGAACGGGGTAAGATGAAAGAACAACTCCACGGAAGTGGGAGCGGGTATCTGTCAAATTCAGGTACCCGCTCCCCCCCCTCCCCAAAGGTCAGCAGTCATCATCTCTATAAGGTCCCGCTGTAGAGCTGAGCGGCCGGCCCGGTATTCTGACACGGCGGCAGTGGAAATACCGGACCGGCCGCTCCATATGACGCACTGACATTTTCCCCCCTTTTTTGGGGAGAAAAAAAGTGCGTCTTATGGTGCGAAAAATACGGTACTAATGTATATCTAGGACAGAAAATGAAAGCATGTGTCCCTACTGGCACACTGACAGCAAAAACTGATAGCAACTTTAACCAGCGCTTTGTGCCTGTGTGCACTAAAATTAACTTTAGTGGGTTTTTTTCACTGAAAATACGCCCTTCTATAAACATGTGCGCTAATATCGTGACATGGCAAAATTGCAACTATAAAACTTTTCTACTTTAGGGTCTCCTTTAAGAAAATGTATGTTTGGGGGTTTAATCTTGAAGTATAAAATGTGCGTTTTAACGTGTGCAAAAATGGAAAAAATGGTTCTAGTAGAAAAGTTGTTAAACAATTCTCTGCTAAAGACAAAAACAAAAAAATATAAAAAAACATTAAAAAGTTTGAAACTTAGATAAAGTTACCACCCCTTAGATCACACAATATTTTCTATGTACAGCAGTGATCTATTACTTTGGCCTTTTGCCCATTTTGATGGGTGCTATTCCAGCTCCCACTTTTCAACCTGTGCCAGATTGCCACCATTTTTAGGAAAAAGATTCCTGCGTAAAGCTAAAAGACAATGTTTTAAGATTCAAATGCTGAACTCTAAAAAAAAAAAAAAAAAAATAACACAAGTAATTCTAAATTGATATGCCATTACTATTTAGCATCTAATGCAATGAAATCCACTTTGCTCTTGCTACGCATTTACATTTTAAGGTTAAAGCTTTTTGAATGGTTTCATGACGTTCACAGTTTCATAATCTGGGAAAATCTGTCATACAAATAAAAGTGAAGGCCCACAGGGTGTAAAGATGTTTAAGTTCCCGGAGAGAGTTCTTTTACACTACAAATTCCTGCTCAGACATGCTGCTAGTTAGTTACTAATACATGACCAGGTGCTTGGGTTTCCTGTACAACATAGGCTTGCTGGTCTTCTTTAGGAAGTCCTTGTAAAAGCTGAGCCTTCATAAAACAAGCACACTTAGGCATGGATTTCACGTTCCAGAGAAGACTGTCCAATAATCCTTAACAGAAACGGCAGGATAAAACAAACCTTATCACATACACTTGTAGGGAGGAATAGTGTGATGTTCCAGCTGGATAAGTAAATCTGTGGATTTGCAGTAAAACGGCATTTTGCGATGCTAATTAGTTGGAAAATATGAGAGGTCCAATACACTAAGCTTTAAAGAGTGTTATATTGCGGTACAAACATTCAAGCTATGGGATCTGGAAACGATTGTTATGGCAAACTTCATGTGCTCTACCTTAGGAAATTAGTCCTCAACTGTGCCTCTTGTTAGGGAGCTCATTGGAATCTCAAATATTATCAGATGCAGGAGGGAACATGCACTAGAACCTGGTTTTACCAGCGGATTCTTACATGGATCATGTAGTACTATCAAAGTACAAAAAAAAACAAATTTTTTATGTTTCCCACTGTATGAAATCCAAAATGGTCCGTCATGACAGCAGAAATCATGAAGCTTCACATTTAGAAAAATAAAACCTCAATTTTATTCAATGCATAGAAAACTGACTGACTCGCTTACATTTTTTGTTCTCAGAAGTATTCTTAAGGTGCAATGACTTTCCAAAGCAGGAAGTGATATGCATAATGCACCAGTGAGACACAGAAAATGGAAGGCTGTTTTTGAAAATGAAGCAAGAATATATTCCTAACTAGAGGGGAAAAAAATGGTCATAAGCAGGTTTGCAGTAAGACCCATATCTTACCTGTGGATTATTGGCTTCAACCAACTTGCACTGTCTCAGGAAGAGCTTCAGATTGCCCCAGTTCATGTAAGGCAGCAGTACCATAGGTTTTTCCCCATCCTCTATACAGACGTGTCCAACAGGAAGCAGATTCCTGAAAACACAAAAAGGAAAAAAAGCTCAGAAAAGAATACTATAATAAACATGCTTCGTTGCTTCACTTCCTATGCAGCAGTTTTCATGTGTGTATATTTGACTGTTGCCTTAAAGGTATCATATTCCTATTAGATGTGTAAATTTAACAGACCAGAGTGGGAGTTTAAGGGATTTTTTTCCCTTTTTTCTGTATTCATCTGGTTTTGCATATACCAAATTGCACATCATTTACTAACTTTAGCAAAGTAGGAGTTTATGCATACAGAACGCCTCATTCAATACCATCAAATTCATTTTTTGTATTATTGATGCTTTTCATGTACAATGTTGATAATCTAGTTCTATATCGGTTACATCTGTAGATGCAAATGGGGCAGATGCAGATGGGGCAGCACAGTGGCTAAATGATCAGCACTTCTGCCTGGCAGTACTAGGGCCGTTGGTTTGAATCCCAGCCACGGCACCTCCTGCCTGGAGTTTGTATGTTCTCCCTGGGCCTGCGTGGGTTTCCCTTCGGGTACTCCGGTTTCCTCCCACACTCCAAAGACATGCTGGTAGGTTAATTGGATCCTTTCTAAATTAGCCCTAGTATGTGTATGTATGAATGTGAGTTAGGGACCTTAAATTGTACGCCCCTTGAGGGTTAGGGACTGATGTGAATGTACAATATATATGTAAAGCGCTGCGTAAATTGACGGCGCTATATAAGTACCTGAAATAAATCATAACTGCATTTAGTTTGCTAAAGCACTATGTACCAAAGAACTGCCATGTGTTTTCCCCTTATAAATGATCGTTTCACATTTTTTAAAAAATCCTTTTTTGCATCTCAGTGAGTCTGATCTACCTCAGCCTCCTTGCAGCCAATTTATGTCTACATACACTCACTCCAGCAGTGGCTGCAAATCATTGCTCAGGACCGGCTTCTTGAAGGTGACAGCAGTAATACCACCTTATTTTCGATGCTGCCTGAAAAAGGACCTTTATAACAGAATTGCTGCAGATGTAAAAAATATTGAACATGACTTTTAAAATTATATTAACCAGTTAAATATTAGAGAGATTATCACTATTGGGTATAGATCTACTTCAAGCAGAACATTAGTAAGTCTCTATTCTCTAATGCAGCGATGACCAAGATATCTTTTTTTTTTTTTTTTTTTTTTTAAGATCTGGCACTTTCCTTTCTTTTAAAAGCAATGCTAGCGGCTATAGAGCTGTTGGATTACTTTTAGAGGCAGTGGAAGTGGGTCTCTCTCCTCTCTGGCTGCCACCTTTACTAGGCCCTCCCGTCGGATATTAGAGCCCAGTAAAGAAGTGACAAGCGACATCGGTTTCCCCAAACACAGTAAAAGGAACTGATGCTGTTCCTCCCACTGTGTGAAGTCAGAAACCGGAAATGAGTGAGGACTGACACTTCTAGTGTTAGTCTTATAAACAAGCCGTTGCCGGCTTGTGAAAGCATCTAATCAAACGGATCTCTGTTTGATCAGATGCTCTGGAGGGCAGAGGAGACATCTCTGGGTTCTAAGATCTCTCCATAACATGGACCTGTCACGGCCCATGCTATGACAACAGATGTTGTTCGTCCCTTGTGATAGCAATAGAAGTAAGGGATGCCAGAGTATGTTCTATGGAATGAAATGCGTAAAGACAGGGTCAAACAGCGATGTCATCAAGGCAGCGTGGTGTTCGACTCTGTTAATGCCTGGCTGTTTTTCCTCTGTGAGTATGCAAGTGTTTTTTTTTTGCTTGGAAAATTACTACAATATGTGGTTCCTACACGAGACCAGGTTTTAAAGTGTTAGTAAACTCTTTAATACTTTTACCTACAGGTAAGCTTATAATAAAGCTTACCTGCAGGTAAAAAGAATATCTCCTAAATGTGCACTGTTTAGGAGATCTTGTTTGTTGTATTGTTGGGTCAGTAGCCAGACCTGAACCTTGTAGCTCCCCCCCATTGTGTCTTTCCCCCTATGCTAGCATTGTGTCCACAGTAGCGTAGGTAGAGCAGAGTAGGACTGGCCATAGAGGGATTACTTTGATGCAGTTGGCCAGCTTAAGCATGTATTGCAATATGTGTGAACTAAATATTCCTATTTATTGCATAGTCTGCTTGAAAGGGTATATACCAGTGTGCAGAGGATCCTCAGAATTTCCCGTTTAGGAGATATTCGCTCTATTTGAGAGCCGGCGGTTGCACTCTGAAGGAATGGCATGCCCGTACCATTCCTTCAGAACACTGTGCCGGGGCCCAGGACTCCCATGTGCATGCACGGGAGTGACGTCATTAGTCAGGTGGCCGGAGCTTGAAAACCTGGAAGGAAGACCATGTGAAGATGGAAGCCTCTGCAGCGGTGACAGTGCGCTGCTGGAGGGCTTCATTTTAAGGTAAGTCCTTCATAAAGTTCCAGTATGCGATTCATACTAGCACATTATGGCATTCTCCTAGATTGTAAGCTGGAAAGAGCAGGGCCCTCGAACCCCTTGTTTTGTATTGTCTCATGTACTGTCCCCCACTATAATGTACAGCGCTGAGCAAACCTTTCTGGCGCTATATAAATACTGTATAATAATTACCTGCAGGGAATTTTTTTTTTTTTTTTTAAGTTGCGGTTTACTACCGCTTTAATGTATGCAGTATCCTGCATGAAGAAAGCCATCCACATACTTCTGTGAGAGACTTAAGAGATTTAAGACCTCTTGTGCTATGAGGGCTTGGGCTCTGGTAAGCAAGTTTATGTGGTGGTGGTGGCTAGCTCTTTAACAAGGATTCATTAGCAAAGAGTAAACCAGACATAATAAAAATGCACCAATAGCACACACTTTCCAGTTCGAGGCAGCACAGCGCACCTACACATCTGACAGTGTCTACCCTCCATTTCTGTAACAGCCCATCAGGATGAACCTTATCAGATGCATATACCACACACAATTTCTAAATACATCAATGGCACCATCAGGGACTAGGTCTGGATACAGGGGAAAGCTACACAGTGATAACTTGCAAATTCACACATATGGTGGCTTGCTCAGTCACACACAGCACCGTGGATTGCAGGAAAAAGTGGGCCTAAAGCCTAGTACACGGGGTCGAATGTCAAGCAACATTGGGCAGTTACTATTGAATTTGGATCGTGTGTCGAAGGGGCATGACCGAAAAAAAAAAAAAAAAAGTGTGCTGACTGGAATGTTCCTTGGGAGGAGGCCCACTGGGTTGAATGAATTAAAAAAACAAAATAAAAAAAAACTAGTGGTGTGCACTAGGCTTAAGAAAAACAGACGCTAGCCAGAGACTACTGTAGGTCTCATACGTAATGGGTGTAAAAAAACAAAACAAAAAACACTGCTTATCAGGGCGTTTTACTTTTTCTGCCTCTAAAACGACCCTCTGTGTCCATGCACACATAGGTGTTTAGAGGCGTATTAGAAAAGGAGTGTTTAGAGACAGGGAAATAAATAAAACCCATTACCAGCACATTCAGGACAGGTGCATTTGAACAGAAGAAAAAGCTGAATGCGTATTCCAATAGGCAGATTTAATATTCTGGCCAATGGAATGAATAAACAGCCTTAATGCTTAGCATGCCTAAACATGTTTGCAAAACATTTTTAGGCCGTTTTTTTTTTTCTTTCCAGGAGCAAAGGCATTCAGAAGAGCTGGACGCCTATGTGCTATACAGTATCATTCACAATTCACTTGTCTATTTACACTGTTTGAAGGAAAAGGATGTCCAAGTCTAGGTCTGCTTTTTAGGTACAATTTGCAGAGGCATTTTGCTGCACTGCAAATCCAAGCGGCAAGAATCTACTGAATCCTATGGCTGGAATTAACAGCTGTACTCACATAGCTGCAGCTGCCAAGCCCATACACTGCAATGACAGACTGTTGGCAGCCGCAGATATTTGTGCCTAATCACACAGCCACCTATCACATGTAATCATGGCTTAATGCACACAGCGTGGCCAGCTGCGATCACCAAAGGCTGTGCAAACAGGCACAAATAGCTGCAGCTGCAGACAGCCTGTCATTCCAGTGTACAGGCTCTGTGACCACTGCAAGGTTCATGCAGCTGTAAATACCAGCCACAGGAATCCGTAAAATCTTGCCATGGGGTCCCAGCATGGCAAAATGCCCAAGCAAATGGTACCTTATTGCTACATGGTGCAAGTTACCATAATTCTGCTGGTACGTAAGTTTTACAATTAAGGCTCAATGTAGTGTAAAAACCACCACCAGAAATTAGAATACCTGTTAGATGCAGTTTAAGCAACTGGAGACTTATCAATGGATCTCTGAGGTTATTACAATTGCAACAGATGGCCTTTAGGTGTAGCACTCTTTTTCACAGAGTTAAAGTGCATCTAAACCCAAGAACAAATATGCAATATATTGCCCCTCAATGGCCTTAGCTGTGGTGGATGTTACAATGTACCTTTTCATACATACATAAAAAGGTATGCAATGAAACAGAAAGGTTTTACAAAAATAAATAAATAATAATAGTAATCAGCATATTAATGAGGGGGATTTGAGAAACCAGGAAATGCAAAATATAAGCAGACTAAACTTTAGCTTTAAAACAGTATTTCGGGAATAAAAATACAAAACAACAAAAAAAGTCATACTCACCTAGGTGGATGCTGTATCAATCAAATGCTGCATCTGTCCCCTGCCGCCTGTAAGACTAAGAACTGAGCGAACATGAGTGATCAAAGACCACTGATCACTTAGTTCTCAGTCTTCAGTGAGCAGGGAGCCACGCTGTGCCTCTCCAGCATTCACTGAAGTGCTGGCCTGTGGAGAAGGTTGAAGCAGCTGGCTCAGGCTCTCTCCGATGCATTGTGAGACAGAGCCAGCTGCTGGTCCAGGCATCTAGGTGGATCCCGACATCTCTCCAGAGCCTGGACTGGCTCAGTGACATCAGCTGACTTTAGCCCACTATCGGATGAAAAGAGGTTACAGGAGTGCAGAACGAAGTGCACTCCTGCAATCCA